CCTGGCCCGCTTGGCCCCAGCCATGCCTGCGGTTTTCTGAGGTGGTTTCCGCGAAGGGCAGCCCCAGAGTGGGAGGTGGGGCCAGGGTCAAAGCTCGGGGCGTCCCAGCTCCTGGTTGCTGCCTGCGTGTCTCCTGGGGCCCGCCCATGTGCCGTGAGGTGGGATGGCTGCACAGATGGGCGCGGGTGTGGGCTCTGGCCCGACAGAGGCCCTGCTCCGGCTGCGGCTCCGCAGTCTTGCGGCTCCGGCTCGGAGGAGACCTCTGGGGCGGCCATGAGCTTCCGTCCAGGTGGTGGCATGTCTGGTGCCCTCTTGGGGGCCTGCTCTCGTCTCCGAGATGAGCACCACGTCTGGTGCAGCCCCGTCTGTCTTGGTGAGGTTCAGGACCTGCTGCTCTGACGCACTGCGGAGATGCGTGGTGTCAGTGTGTGGCCCTGTCCCCCTGACCCTCTCAGTGACATGCCCTGTCCCCCTGACCCGTCTCTGTCTTGCAGTGACCTTGGTCTACTGTGCCGAGTATGTCAACGAAGTGGCCGCGGCCAACTGGAGGTAAGCCCTGGGAGCTGGGCCCGCGGGGTGCACAGGGTGCGACTTGGGTGTTGGTGCTGACCATGGGTCATGGGGAGATGAGGGTACGGGGTGCACAGGGTGCGACGGGTGTTAGTGCTGACCATGGGTCATGGGGAGATGAGGGTCACCCTTGTCCCCTGGCTCAGCGTGTGGCCATGGGGTCGTGGGGAGACGAGGTCACCCTTGTCCCCTGGCTCAGCGTGTGGCCACGGGGTCGTGGGTGCTGACAGGTCAGCAGTGAGGAGCCACCTGGACTCAGAGGCTCTGGGGTCCCAGGGTGAGGCTCCCATGCTGGCCCGTTGGCCTCGCCGGTGTGTGACCCAGTGATGGAACCGTCGGATGGCCTTTGTGGAGCAGTCCCCCTGCGGGGTGGCGGGCAGAGGTCTGACCCGTCGGGCAGGGCACTGTCCGGTCACGCAGTCCCGCACCCACAGGCTGTTCTCGGCGTACCAGTACTTCGACTCCAGGGGCATGTTCGTCTCGCTCGTGTTCTCGGCCCCGCTGCTGCTCAACGCCTTGGCCATCGTGGTACGTAGCTCGCCCTCCCGGTCGCGCCGGCCTTGGGTGCGTGTCCCCGCCCCAGCCCTGAGCACGTCCCCTTTGCTCTTAGATCATGTGGGTGCACAGGACTCTGACCGTGATGGCGGACCTGAAGAGCTTGCAGGAGAAGAGGAGAGCGAGGAAGAAAGCCGAGTGACACTCGCGCCCGCTCCCTGCCCCGCCATCGCTGCTCTGCCTCAGAGAGCGTGGTGCAGGCACCCGGCCACCAGGCTCAGGCCACCGTGAGGGCGCATTAAAGCTGGCTTTCAGACAGCTCTCGTCTGTGTCGTGATGTCCCTTAGACCCGACCGCATGGAAGTGGGGGCCTCCCTGGCCGAGCTGCAGGTGGGCTGAGCACTGGTGCCCTTGCTGTCACAGCTCAGTGCCCAGGGACATCCCATCAGCCCCCACGGCACGCGGCCTCCTGCCCTGCCCTAGACCGGGGTGGGGTTGCCTCAGAGGGGAGGAGGCACTGGCGCCCTGCAGTGCCCCCCACCCCCCGCAGGGCTGTGACAGAGCGCCCATGTGTGGGGGCCTTGGCGACGGGGCCTGAGGAGAGGCTCCAGGTCTCGGCCTCCGGAGCTGCCCGCCAAGGCTGGGCCACAGACACCCTCCTGGCTCGCGGATGGGGAGTGGGGCCTGCTTCCCGGGAAGTGCTTTTAGCTACAAGCACAGACTGGAAAGAGGCTGTGGGGTCGGGCCCACAGGGAAGGGGGCTCTGCGGAGCGTCGGCATTCAGAAGCAGCAGTGCGTCGTGACATGTGGGTGGGCCATGAGCCTCCACAGGTTCCGCGAGTGCATGGGCACACGGGCTGTCGGACCCTGAGGACGGGCACGCGGGTCCGCCAGGCGCCGGGTCAGGTGGCACATCTGGGACAAGGCACTTTGCTCCCGCCGAGGCCTGGGCTGGTGAGTGACGGGTGGGTGGAGGCCGAGGGCTTCCAGACGGCCATGGGGACTCAGTTCAAGGGTCGTCCACGTGAAGGTTTCGGGGTGCGTGTCCAAGCTTGGGGTGTGGAGAGTCACAGGAGGCCTGTGCAGGACGGGCTGCGTGTGTGCTCAGCCTGGGAAGTGCCACGCCCGTTCTGAGCAGTCTCGCTGCGGGGATGGCCAGCCATCTGCAGCCTCGGGACAGAGCTCACGCTTGGCTGTTGACCGGGGTGAATTCCTACGTGTGCAGTTAAGCAAAATGGACAGTCACCTTATGGAGCGGAGGGTGCGGCCGCGTGCTCAGCTGCACCACGGTGTCGGACGTGTCTCCTGGGACCCTCGTCCACACCGAGGAGCAACACGACAAAATGACCTGATCGGTGGGTGAGGATTCTGTCCCGCTGCCTGACCGTGCGTGTCCGTGGTCACAGTGATCTACCCTTTCCCAGACCAACACTGCACTTCCTCTGTGACCGGCCCCCGTACTTCACTCTCCCTTCGGGACACTGCGTCCCGTGTACTCTCGTTACATGTCAAACCGGGTTCCCAACCTGCAGTGGCGGGTCTGCCTCAGCAAGTTGTCAGAGCTGCAGATGTCTGTGCGGGGAGCCTGGTCGAGACCTGACTGCGGAGTGGCCAGGGGACACGGAGCCATCCCGCTGGTCCTAGGCACCGGCAGAGGGGCTGCGGCCACCAGCAGGATGTCCCCGTTAAGCCGCATGTGCGGTCAGCGGGTCGGAGTCCCAAACACGGGCTGCCACGGCGGCGGCACATCTACACGTGGGAGCTCACGCTTCCCAGAGACCAGGGCGCTTGGGCACTGGAGACACCGCGGTTCCGGGTCGTGGGCTCCTGTGAGGACGGCTCTGGATCATCTCCATGTTGGTTTTCCACGGCTGCACCCAGGCGAGGACCCTGACCCACTTCCCAGGGCTTCCTGCCGTGGTTACGAGAAATAAGATGCCTTTCCGTGGGAAGCGCGGCCCTGGTGTGGAGAGCGCCTGGGGTAGTCGGCCTGGGCTTGCTGGACGCTTGGGCTGGCCACGCCGCCGACTGCTGTTGGTCCCCTGTGGGAGGGCGTACGCGGCGGTGTCACACGTGTTTACTCATCTCCCCGGGAGGGTCCCCACCCTGCATGCTCTTACCAGGCTGGTGACACATACCCACACGCACACTCACGCGTGTGGGCCTTCTCTGATCATCAGACATCCCGAGCACCAGTGTGCCCACCCAGGGCCCCAAGAGGATGTGGACGAACCACAGAGGACAAGAGAAGGACTCACATCCACGGAACCTCAGCTGTGTCCCAACTGTGCCCGACAGGTCCTGGGCCCCACACCCCAGGGACTGTCCACCACCCAGTCTGCACCCCCCGGTTCTCCGTGGCCCTGCTGAGCGGCCCGGTCCCGCCTGGTGGAGGCCGGGCTCGTCTGCTTCTCCAGAGGGCACTGCAGCGCTGCGTCTGACGCCCTGGAGGCTGGCCTGGGCCTGCTTGGCACTCAGGGATGTCACCCCGACGGAGGACCCTGGCGCTGCTTGCCCTGGCCCTCTGCAGGAGGCCAGTGGTGTCTGAAATGTGCAGAGGTCGATTTCACGTGGCCAGGAGCAAGTCCACTATGCATACACGACTGCGCATGTACACACATGACATATGAACACATCTGTGATACACCGCATGTGTGCATGCAGTATACATGCACATACACACCTGCAGGCACCCAGGGCAGACAGGCGGTCCCCTCGGCTCCGTTAGAGCAGCCCCCGCTGCGCACCAGGCTCCAGGGGGTCCCTGCGCTCAGGACACGACAGAACGGTCACTGATAGTCCTTCACAGTGGGCGTGTTTGCTGAGGTGACGGGAGGGCATGATCTTCACGTGGCACATGCCAGCCCCACATGGTGTGGCTCTGTCCCCTGCTCTGGGGCAGAAGGAGCCCTGAGGACATGTCGTGAACGTGAGTCAGAAGCCGAGGGACATGGGCAGCTGGCGCGGTGGGCGGGACGGCGGAGACCGGGCTGTGACTTGGGCCGACCTCCCTGCAGCCCTCTGGGCTGCGTGTGGGTCCCGCCTCCTGGCGGGCAGGACGCTGAGGGTGCGACTCCTCATAGAAACGGCCGTGTCTCGCCCACGCAGGCTCCGTCCTGGCCCCAGCTCTGGGCAGCTTGTCCTGCCCGTGCTGCCGCCCGCTCACAGCCCAGCTCGTCCCGTGGGCACGCCGACGTTCCTTCCCGGTGGCCAGTCTGAAGGACGGCTGGCCCCGTCTGTACGACAAAGCTGAGTCTAGACAGCTCGAGCCCACTGTGGTGCAGCGAGGGGCACGGGCGGCCTCCCACAGCCTCCCCTGCCGGCTGCGTGTGCCCAGGGGCAGGGAGGAAGTCGTGGCGCAAAGGTGCCGAGGGCGGGGCCTTGCAGGAAACTAGGGTTCCATGGATCGTGTTTCCAGGGTGGGCCCTGGGTGGGCCTTGGCGAGAGGGAGAAAGCCCAGAGCTGATGCCCTGCACCACCGGCCAGAGGCCCTCACCCCGCGTGGCCTGCCCCCCGGAGCCGTGAGCACACCAACCTCTGTTCTTCGTAAACCCCCCGTCTGGTCTTGGGCACAACCACAGAGAAGTGGACTGAAATCCCCCAAATAAATAAATAAATAATACCCCCTGGTAAATGACACAGTGAGGAGAGCACAGTCTACACTCAGACTTCGTGCGGTTTTTGTACCTTGAGTGTGTAGCGATGTTTTACAATTTCAGGTTTATAGGAACAGTGGAGACAGTGCCCCTCGCCCACCCCAGCTCGCTCCGTCTGGACACTTGAACTTCAGACTGCCCAGGGCAAACCAACGCACGCTCAGAGGCACTTCGTGGAGAGGGGAGTGTGAGGCCAGCCCCAGGCCAGTCATGACGGGAAAGTCACGACATCCCGGCTGGACACGGGGACTCCTCTGTGACATGCAGCCCTTTCCAGCCGTGGGGGTCAATATTGCTGAATTTCAAGATAAACATAAATGAAAACTCACACAGACCTCAGACACGAGCAAAAGCAAGCACCACGTGTGTCTCGGGGCATGCACATGGGGGAGACATGGGCAAGCAAGCCGAGAGGCTCGAGAGCGCGGCCGCTCCTTGTCCGAGGCAGGAGACATGGTCTGGCTCAGCTCACAGAGTGGCTTCACGTGCACCTGTGCCTCGCATGTGATCATGTGAGACACGCCAGAGATCGGTCCCACCAGAATCCACCGGCGAGGTGATAGCGGGAGAAGCAGCGTGGCTGGCCTGGGTGGCGTGTGCCTAGACGACCCGACGCTAGGGGACCCTGCCCTCCCCAAGGTGCGGCAGGAGACATGGTCTGGCTCAGCTCACAGAGTGGCTTCACGTGCACCTGTGCCTCGCATGTGATCATGTGAGACACGCCAGAGATCGGTCCCACCAGAATCCACCGGCGAGGTGATAGCGGGAGAAGCAGCGTGGCTGGCCTGGGTGGCGTGTGCCTAGACGACCCGACGCTAGGGGACCCTGCCCTCCCCAAGGTGCGGACGCTCACTCCGGCTTCCTTCCCCCACGACCGCCCCGTGAGACTTGGTACCCACCCCCCACACACACACACATCTCCGGGGACACAGCCCGGCAGCACTTCCAGCGACTGCTCTTTACTTGAATCATCCAGCCAGTGTGGACAGGTGCCGGTGAGTCCAGATGGCCGGGACACCACCCTCTTCCCTGGCTGAGCAACACAGACCCCGGTCCTGCACACGCGCGCGCGCACACACACACACACACACACACACACGACTGCCTCTGCAGGGACCCACTGGCTCAGGAAAGCCCTCCCCTCACCCAGTCCCTGCCCACCCTCCTCTCTGCACCCTCTGCACCCTCCTGGCCTGGGCCCAGAATTGCCTCAGGACATGGCGGTGCGCTTTGAGCCCTGCCCACCACCCGGGGCTGTGGGGATGAGCACAGCCAGGCGTGTGGCGCAGCCGGCAAACCCTCGCACGTTACCCCAGTGGTGAGCGACACGGCGTCCACCCGAGGGCAGGGCTGTGCAGAGCCACGCAGAGTGGCAGCAGCAGGTGGCGCCAGAGGCCTTTGGAACAAGTCTCCATGGCCACTGCGTTTCTCACCACCCTCCTGGCTTGCTGCTCTGGGCGTGAACGCCCCTCCCTCACCATCCGGTGCAACTGCTTCCGGGCAGGTGCTTTTGCTGTGTTCCTTCTGCCCAGCCCGACTCTGCAAGACGCACCTGCCCTGGGGGCGGACAGGCGGGTGACCTGGTTCTGCTGCAGCTGTGAAGGCTGGGCACACACCCAGATGTGGCCAGCCCAGCCAGGGTTCCGCCTGTCAGGAAGGGGTTG